GCGAAGAGGAATTCTTTTTGCTGCTAGTAATAGTCAAAATTTCGTCAGAAAGAAAATAAAGAGGTGAAAATGAGTGAAGAAAAATGTGAATTTGGATGGTAGCAGAAGTAACGTAAAAACAAGACTTGTACCCTTTTTTTTCCGTGATGATAAATAGCTTAGCACTTATCTAAAAGACGTTAATGAAATCCAATCTAATTAAATCAAGAACGGAAATGAAATTTTAGATGATACAAATGATGGCAATACGAAGAGAACAAATATAAATATAGTGTCTTTCTCTTCCCACTCTCTCTCTCACTCTCTCTTTTTCTCTCACTCTCTCTCACTCTCTCTCTCCCTATTCACTCTCTCTTTTTCTCTCACTCTCTCTCTCACATACACTCTCTCTCTCTCTCTCTCTCGCAGAAAACGAGGAAAAGCAACACTCATTAAATACATTTCCTATTCATTAACTTCGAAAGCCGGATGATAGAGAAAAGTATTATTCTATGACCTTTAGACGATGCCAGAGTTTATTATGCAACTCAATGTTTTCACAATTAAATTGTTCTGAAGTTTACGATTTAGTAGAATTTCCAGACAAGTGTACCTTTTACTAATTAGGCTGAGAAGCCATCATGATAAAACAACGTTTAATTATTTATTGTTTCAACCATTCGATATATATATATATATATATATATATATATATATATATATATATATATATATATATATATATATTAAGAAATGGACAAAGTCCGACAATTTATTTATTAAAGACATTTTTTATGTTTAACGTTCTTTTTTATAGATACAAGTATTTAAATAAATGCTCTGTTTATAATAAACAGTATTAAATAACATTTACCGGCCTGAATGTCCGAGAAATTTTCATAGAAATACTTGTATCTATAAAAAAAGAACGTTAAACATAAAAATGTCTTTAATAAATATATATATATATATATATATATATATATATATATATATATATCTTGTGCCCGACGAGTTGGTTAACCAACGAAACTTAAGTCGCAAAGCAAATGTTGGTATATGTATATTTATTAATATATATTTCTTAGTTCTGTGTAATCACATTGAACACTATTATGTCTGCACCACTTGATTAAATTTGGTAATTATTTATTTGCTTACCAACTTATGCAGGCCGGTACGCGTATATGGTCGCTAATATCTAGTTATTTCATTTACCTAACCTATATATATATATATATATATATATATATATATATATATATATATATATATATATATATCATTTCACCCCATGCAAGGCGGGAATGGCATTAGTACGCAGGGGGTTACAGGGCGTTAAAGTGGGCGACAAGACTGAGTATAGGAAGGATTGAGGAAAAGGACAAAAGTTAAACGGGATTCAAGAAGACAGAAGATTACTGTTGACGTTGCATTTAAATTCTCGAAGATTTATACTTATCAAGAAATCAAGTAAACGGAAGGAAGTTCCACAAGCGGGGAGTGCGAGAAAAGAAACTGTTGACTAGAAGTGGCGGCTGCATTTAACTATTTCAACCTTAAAACGGTGAGACCTAGATGACAATCTCGTAGCACGCTTAAATTCATGTAATCGGGGAACCAGGGAAAAAAACTCGTCAGAGCAGCTGCTATGAAAATAATTTGTAGAAAAGACAGAGGGTAGTCTCGTAACGTCGGTGAAAAAGTGACTGAAGGTGAGATGCCAAATCTAGATCGATTATGGTGGTTAAATGATAGCAGTTTTGTATTTAGCGGGTGAACGTGTTTAAGTAGACGTCACTGTTATTTTTTAACAGTGAAATTAATGTGAACTGATCAAGAGATTAAGAAGTCCGACTAAGGAAAAGGAAATTTGTTCGCTCATTAAAAATAATCAAGTTTTTTGTAGCTAACTTTTGTTGTTTAGAATTCATTAGACCTTTTTCTATTATCGACATTTGTCTGAATCGATTACTTTTATCATTTTAGAAGTTCCTGTTCATTATATATATATATATATATATATATATATATATATATGCAATACTATATATATGCAATACTATATATACAATACTATATATATATATGCAATATATATGCAATACTATATATATTATATATATATAATACTATATATTATATATATAATACTATATATATATATATGCAATACTATATATATATATATATATAATACTATATATTATATATATAATACTATATATATATATATATATATATATATGCAATACTATATATATACAATACTATATATATATATATATATATATATATATATATATATATATATATATATATATATATATATATATATATATATATATATATATATATATATATATATATATAGTATTGCATAGAAGCATCAAAATTACCTCATATGGGGGATAGATCTATTTCAACCGACAAAAAATCCGTCAGTCTTATTCAACCCCGGTGTATTCGTCAGTTGAAATAGATCTATCCGCCGTATGAGGTAATTTTGTATTTTATTATGTAATATTATTCATTGGCTCTGTTATGATAAATACATTGATCTCTTTTTTCTGGATCAGTTTTAATATTTTATATTACTAGGATCCACTTGGATTATATACCAATGGATTTATTATTTTTACAATATATTATATATGTTCATTCAAATATGTTTCATTAAATAATATAGACATATGTCTATTTTTATAATAATCGTTTGTAGTTTTCTAATCAGCGTCTTGATGTTAAATTAAAATTCTTCAAGGAAGGCGCTGTAGTTTTTTTCTTGCACAAGTACTTTGATCTTCTCCAAAATTACCATTACAACAATCAAAGTTACAATAAGTTTGTCTTTGCAATACACCCCTGAGAATCTGCAACCAAACCTGGCACCAAAAAAAGATTTCAAAGACACTAAATGGAACTACTTTTAGTCTCTCCCGAGATATTATTCATCTGAAAATTTGTGATCCATCATTAAGAGAGATGACTTCTTCTTCTGTGTATCGTGTCCCTTCAGAACGTTGGTGATCATGGCTCCCCACAATTTCCTGTTCTTTGTATCTCTCAATAAACTTTTTTCTTAGATCCAAGATTACATCATATAGCATCTTTGAAAGGAAATATTTAAATTTAAAGACGCTTAATAACAGGTTAATTTAGACCTTAGAATTTAGACCTTAGGCATTTAGACCTTAGGCATTTAGACCTTAGAATACGTCATTTAGTATACTTGAAAAAAAAAAAAAAAAAAGGAATGAAAGAAAAAGAAAAGATGAAAAAGAAGAAAAAATTTCTGGATTGAAATATAAGACGAATGTTTGTATTATACATCTCCAAGAGTTGAAATGATGTATTCAGCTAATTTTCCGCTAAAGTCTGTTTAAACAGCCATTTACTTAAGCTCTCTAGGTAGGTTATGCGTTATTTTCATCTGTACCTCTTGACTTTAATCTGTTCTGTGAGTATCAAATTTTCCAAGCTCTCTTTCCTTATTATGCCTTCCATTCTCTAAAACTTCGTCGTTGCTCAAATTTTCGTCTCATGTTATTCTCAGCATCCTTCTGTAGAAGTATAGATCTGTTGCTTCAAATTACTTGTTCATCTGTTCATCAAGATTATCCAGTATCCACAGCCATATCAGACAACTTATACTATGTAACGGTTCGGTACTCTTTGCTTTGTTTCTAACGAGATTTTCCTGTTTCTTAATACTTTGCTTAGCTTTTCAAAGACATCTTTCGCTATCCAGTACGCCTTCGGATTTCAGTGCCGCACTTTCCGTATTTGTTTATATCATTATTTTCTCTTCAAGTTATATCTGCTATCCATTTTAGTTGTTGCTGCCGTTGGAATTTCTCAAGTGATGTGGTTTCTGTTATTTGGTACAGTTCTTTGTGGTTCTGAAGCGCCAATTAACGAGGTCTGAAGAAGTATGATCGTCGCTAAGATCTAGAGGCTTCACTCACCCGAAGACATTTTTAACCCTTGATCTGAGAAATCGGTTGTATACAGCTGACAGTTGAGATATTTCTGAATAGGTTTTGGCACCATGCATGGCGTACATTTGAAAGTCTCGATCCGATGAATATGACTCGGAATTTTCAGATTAATGTTTTTATTTTGTAGCAATTTACGGTGTTGAGCATAAAATATAATTATTATTTTATTTAGTTGACATGAAGGAGCACAATAGGCTTTTGGTGTAATCATCAAATTTTTGGATTCTTCTGTAGTCTTCGTTAGTATTTCATACTGAATAGTATAGTCATTATTTATGTTGATAATAAAATGATGCGCATGTGCATGTCATACACACACGCGTGTAGGCTTCTGTGTTTATGCGTGCAAAAAGACGTGTGAGTGACTTGGATCCCAAGAACTACTGTGAATTTCTGTATGTTATCATTACAGCTAGTTTCTAACGTCTATTTGGAGATATATACAAGAGTTTTAACGGTTTTCCGATGACTACATAAATTATCTATAAAGGTTAGCGACAAAAACAACTACGATATTCAATTCGCCTCCTATCTATCTATCTATCTATCTATCTATCTCTCTCTCTCTCTCTCTATATATATATATATATATATATATATATATATATATATATATATGCCAATTTTTCCCGCCTCTCCTGAAGGAATTACTACTTTACCAAAGTCAACATACACAAAATAAAATTAGCTGAATACATCATTTCATCTCTTGGAGATGTATAATACGAACATTCGTCTCATATTTCAATCCAGAAATTTTTTCTTCTTTTTCTTTTTTTTTAATTCCTTTTTTTTTCTTTTTCGAGTATACTAAATGATGTATTCTAAGGTCTAAATGTCTAGACATTTCAATTAACCTGTTATTGAGAGAGAGAGAGAGAGAGAGATAGGGAGGAAGAGAGAGGTTATTAGCATGAAGACAAGTCAACGTGACTGAAGATTTGAGTATACTGGCTTATTTTCAAATAGTGATCTCGCCAGATTATACATTATTTCCCAGAAACTGTTAGGTGAACGAAGAAGAAACAGAAATTTACGTGTGAAGGTGTCTGTAACAGAAAATATATATCCGCTCTAGGAAATGTATAGATTCGAAAACGATCAGTCATTATTATTATTGCGCACGTGAGTGCGTGCATGTGTGTGTGTGCGCGCGTGTTTGTTGGGTGCTTGTCTTAAAGAGTACGGTGCTAAGCAACTATAATTTATCGAAATATTCGTTAGATTACTGAGTTCGATCATTATTTGTTATACCACTCATTGCAACTTTCGGTTAACGCGAAGAGAAGCTTCCTTCATATAGTATACTACAATGTGTAGCTAAACTGAATACTCTACATATGTACACGGGCACGCATGCGCCCACCCACACATACGCATACATACATACGGACACAGAGAGGGGCTGTTTTCGGAATTTATCCAGACATTTTGAAGGTCTCGAGAACCGAATGC